CTGCGTTTGGCCATTAGCATCAGCCACCTATGGTGAAACTGAAATCAACTAAACTGCTTTTTCTGGGGTAAAACCAAAGAGAGAAGCAGCACGCAGTGCCAGTTTGTCCCATGTGCTCCGTGTGTTGTGAAATCCACGTAGTCTCGCTGCAGCCGTCCTGGCTGGCAGAGCAGTCCTGGGGTCAGGTAGCAGCTTTCATCTAGTTCTTGACAAGATGCTAAGCCAGCCTGGCTGAGCTACAGCTGGTGAAGGTCTGATCTCTCTGCAGACATGCAGTATTGCGTGCAAATATGGTGCAAGCTATTAACAGCTGAGTACATTTCTCATCTGCATTTCCTGACAGCAAACAGAAGTGACTTGAGACAATTAGAGTGGGAAGGAGTAATTCGGCGTGACTGAATGCCACATTGCAGAGATCACTTGCTAATTACAGGGGGGTAGGATAAGGAAAGGGAAAGATCTGAGGAGTATTTCCCCCAGAGTGAAAAACCTGCCCCCCCTCCCCTCATGAGTAACTCAAGGCCAGCTGTTTTGGCAGTGCCTCCAAGTCTCTATACATTGACTCTCCTCTCCCTCTTCATCAGCAAAGACACAAGGAAGGAGAAGTACCTTTTGGTCCTTGTCCTTCACAGACCCAGTGGTTTGCAGGAGATGGGGGTTCAAGTTCCTTGTTCTCTCTCTTTTCTGTAAGACTCTTGAAAAAATATCTCCTCTCAAAGGGCTGCCAGTCAAACAGGAGGAAGGCAAAGGGTGATTGCTGTCTGCCTCCATTCCTCCTTTCTCTGTATTCTTTGGGATTACCGATGTGTTTTACTGTCCTGCTTCCAGCACAGTCTGGACATTTCACCTTGGGAGCAGGGTCTGGAGAAGAGATGGAGAGGCCAATGGCCACGGCTCATCTCTCACTCTCAGACAAATGCTCTAATCATTAGGACACCTTGTCAGGCTTGTCCTTCTGGCTCCTCAACACTTGTATTTTTGGCTGCCCAATGGCTTATAGTGCATGCATGTGACTTGGATGCATTCCTGAAGCCCTCTGGGGTTACAGCTTTTAGGGTGATGGGGAGATCATATTTGTGTCCTCCCTACTGCTTCCTGCAGGAATGGTTCTCACACTAATGGCCATCTCTCCACATGCACGTAGGGCTGAAATCCTTGCACTGGGGTGTGTCTCAGGGCACCTTGTGGAGGATGGTCAGGCCAGCCCAGGTCCTGCTGGAGGGAGGTAGGGAGCCTTTTGTGCAGGGGTCACTTGAAGGAAGAAACTAACTTCTAGGACATGGGGGAGCTTTTGGGTCAGACAGAGGCACAGGTGAGGCCCTGCACCCGCTCAGCAAGGTTTTGTGGGTCACTGTTTTGGGCTTGGGTACTTGCAGACTCTCTAAGTCCGGTTACAGGCACATCAGTGTGAATCACAGCTTTTGTTTTCCTTTGAGAGGTGTTCCTCGTCCTTCTGCATGAGGAGATGAGCTTGCAAGTGTAACAGCAAGCTCCTTGAAAGCCATGAAGAGAGAAATCCAAATCAAGAGACACCCAAAAGATACGCGTTGGTTGCTTGAAAATGTCATGGCTGTCAAAACTGACCTCCTGCATCCTGTGGGCCTGACTCATACCTGCCTGCTAATGCCATTGGTGAAACAGAAGGGCATTGGTCTGAGAATTAGCAAGGGAGGAGCACAAGGGCAGTATCCAGTGATGAAAATTGAAAGGAGGATTAAAAGGAAAGTTCTCAACACCTCCCTGAGACTCCCTGATTCCCTCAGACAGCAGTAATTTCACCAGCTCCAGGGAATGCTGCTGCATGTGCATGTCAGCGGGGAGCCTTCAGCTGTGGCACTGGCCAAGCGGCATCCGCAGCAGCCAGGAAGGCTGACCAGGATGTAACCTATTTGACTCGATGTCTGGAGGCCAGGAAGGACACAAGCTTCCTTGTGTTGTGCTTCATGCTTTGGGCTTTACACAAACCACCTCTTCAGCAGACGTAAACACTCAGGAGAAGTAGATGCAAACTTTCCAGATTCTCTTCTGCTTGTGGTTACCTCCCTGCTGTGACGTGATGGGGAAGGAACAGGGAGGTTGCAGGGATATGTGATTGATGGGTATTTGCTGTAAGTGTTCTTCTGCTGTGAAATGTCACTGTCCCCTGGTTATTTCTGATTTCTCCTTGAAGATAGCTCAGCTGAGCACACAGTTAGTTTGGGACTGCTAATACAGTATGCTTACTGTCTGGGAGCAGCTGATAATGTACTCATGCTGGGTTAAGATTTTCCAGAAAAGAGGTAACATTTGCAGATGGCTTGGGCCAACTCCTTTGGCTTCAGCTTTTTTATTGATAGATGAAAGCAGTACACATGACCAAGCTATGGAAAGCTTTAAAAGGTGTCCTTCCTTACCCTGCTTTTTTAACAGTTCCTGCGTTGATAGTTTCTCTCCTTGTCTCTTGTGTGGCTACAGTAGACACCAATCCTGTTCTTCAGCCTTCCTTGTACCTTTTCTGCATTGAGGAGCTCTGTGCCCTCTATCATCTTCTTCTCAACATACCCCAAAGAGATCAAGGCAGCTCTTCCAGACACAGGTTTTCAATCTTTTTTTCCTCCCACACAGCTCTCTTTTCCAGCGGGTTTGCTTTGCCAGGTAATGGTTTCCAAAGAATCCATTCTAAATTTCCAATATTTAACATCAGATTTTCTAGTCTTGGAAACACTAGGTTGTTGCCAACCCAAAGTTTAGGGATTGATTGCACAAGCAGACTAACTAGCCATTCTGAAGGGACAATAACTCTTATGAGCAAAGCAGTGGTGAGCAGTTGGCAGGTGATGAGGAACAACAGGATGATCCTTCCACTTGCACTGCTATAACCAGAAGAGACCGGGAGTGGAGCAGAATCACCTACTTATGGACCATCTGCATGGCACATGTCTGCATCTGAGATGCTCAGCCTGGACTTCCTTTCTGGTCAAGGGTCCACTGTAGCCATGGATTAAGTGTATGATTTATCTTTATTATTTTTTGTCTAAATAGGACAGAACATTTGTGTTCCAAAAGCTTCTTTTTTTCACATTTGCTATAAAAGAAGCCTAACTAAACTTTAGACTTTTTGACTGAACTGAATCCGTCCAAACATCCTTTACATTAAGGGTGTAGTTCTACCTAAGGCACAATCACTATCATTTGCCCAGTGTCCTAGTTAACAGAAAAAATCACCAGCAAGGCTCTCCATTAGCAGCCCAGCTACGAGGGAATTGCAGGCCTTTTCTTTCAAGGATGGTTTTAGTACTCAAAACCATAAACTTTCACTCTACGGTAAATTGGCCAGATAATGTAATTCCACAGCAGCCCATCCCAACCCAACCTTTTCCTCCCCTCCCCGTCTGACTGATCAACTGTTGGCCTTTACAAAGCGATAATAAAAGACCACACAAAGATAATTGCTCATAATTGTCAGGGAGGAGCTTTGCCAACTCCAGGAAGGTCCTCATGGTATGTTCTCATATAGGGACCAAACCAGCAAAGTGCTGTGGAAGATGTTTGACCACCCCAACATGTGGTGAGAATTTAAAGCAAACGTCAAGTATTGGTTTTGGAAAGTCACTGAGTTTTGAAGACTGAAGTTTTGGGTGTTTTTTCCCTGCCCCACCCCCCAAGCAGCGGAGCATTCCCAGGGCAGTCATCATGATCATGACTGCCCTGGGAAAAAAGGAAAGTTTTCAAACTCTAATGAGCATATGATAAATTTTGGATGATCCCAGGGCAGCCATGCTAAAAACGTGCAGGGTGGATACTGAGTTGTGTTTTTCTGCAGTGTTGACTTTGAGTGAACTGGGCACTTTAAATTGCACCAATTTAAATGAAGGAGAGATAAAATGGATGTTTAAAGGCAAGTCTCTCCTATTTTGCTAAACAGTGGGGATATTTTACACTTGCGTATTGCTTTTCAACAAAGTTCCTTCAAGATAAGCACAAATAAAATCGATCTCACACATCTGTGACACAGGAAATAGTTTTTACCTGTAATTTACAGTTTGAGGTAAGGAGAAGTTAAGCCATTTTTTTTTTTTCAAATTCCTGTGATTATATCCATTTTTTGGCATGCCTGATATAGAAGATGGCTGAATATATCTCAGGTGTGTTGCCTTTTCTATGTGTGCCCTGAGACAGATTGGTAGATGTTTGCAAAATGTTAACTGGTCTGTCTCCCACCCAAGAAAATGCAATGAGACTTTCTTGTTTATGGACTCCAACACTGTTTGCAAACATTTTTGCCATCTATTGTGTGTATTTAACCTTTCTTCAGTGTTAAATTTCTCAGCAGTCAAGTGTGATTAAGCAGTTTCTGCCCTTTCCTCTCAGTCCTTTGTAGATATATTGAGCGGCCCACCAACTCCATGAAAGACAAAAAGAGGCTGTGCATGCTGATGGGAGCTGCTGGGAGTTTGAGGGCATCTGCATGCTCTCAGGGGCAATGTAGAGGTGTTTCTGTTACTTACATTTGTTTAATAATGTAGTCTCTTGAATGCACTGCTCTTTCTGGATTGCCTTGTGTGTACGTTTTGGAAACTTGGTGCGAATTCAGGGCTCATTTCCGCTAGCTGAAGGGCAGAGATGGAAATGGGGAAGGATGGTCTTGAAAGCAGTGTTTTGCTTTCTTAGAGCAAAGAGGATCAAGTCTACCCTTGACAGCAGTGAGGATGGAGTATGGGTGACACCAGCCTGCGCCCATATATTATGCATATATATGCATCTAGTGCACATTCTGCTTCTTTGTTAAATAAAGAACATAGGGAAAGCGTTTGGGGTTTTTTTTAAATTTCTTGCTCTTTCTGCTCCTTTTGATTTGAGCTTTCTTTAGTACCAAAGTTTGGGGAAGGGGGGAAAGGGAAGGGAATCCTCCAGATTCCCTGCAGGAAAAGGAGAAAGAGTAATTTCTTAATATCCCTCACCAAGTAGAGATAAGGCTGACTGAACCCCTGCTGACAGCAGGCTCTGCTTTCTTTCCACAGTCTCCATTGAAGATATTCGGGATGTGAGGTCAGGCCATAAAACGGAAGGTATGGAAAAATACGCCAAGGATGTCCCAGAGTATCGCTGCTTTTCCATCATTTTCAAAGACCAGCGGAAAAACCTGGACCTCATTGCGAGTTCAGAGGACGATGCCAACCACTGGATCTCCGGCCTTGGGAAAATCATAGCCCACAGCAACTCCATGAACCAGAAACAGAAACTCCAACAGTATCCTTTGCCTTATAAAGTGATTAATCACACACAAAGATGCACTTATCTTTCTCTGTGGGTGGAGATAGTAGACTAACCCCCTTTTTTCCTATTGGCCCTGGGACTGAGTTTTCTCTCGCACCAATTTTGCACCCAGGCAAACTCCCTGGTTTCCAATGCTTTTTTTCCCTGTTTTGCAGTGATACAAGCAAGAGTGGATTCAGGCTTCACATAGCTCCTTAAACAAAGAATTGCCTCTTTCAGGGAGCTCCAGATAAAACAATCATTATTTTTTGTATTCTCCAGGGGTCTGTTTCAGTTGCATTGCAGTAAACTCCAGGACAGACACTTCTTGGCAAGGCATGAAAAGCCCGTACTGTTTATCATGTTTCTCAGTAATACAAGGCGAGGGAACTGATTCTCCTCTTCTGACTGCCAGATTTACTCTGGGGTAGCTCCACTGTCTTTAATGAAATTACTCCTTATTTGCCTCAGCTTGGGAGGAAGTTTTGCTCTGAAAGGATTTGCAATTGCTCTAGTGACAATGCAGACATTGGAAAGGAAAAGTAGCAGAGCAGGAAAGGAGGGTGAATTAGTTGTGAAAAGGAGAGTGAGTTAGTTATTGGGTGAAACCCTGGCTCTGCTGAATTCACAGGGAATTTTCCCTAGGGTAGCATTTCACTCAGTAAGTTGCTTTGTGACCACAGGTCTCACATCCCTATAAAAAGAAAGAATATCTGTGGGTGCAGTTTTTGATGGATTTTCTGCAGTCCCTGTGTGTCTGAGGCCCTGACTGTGACATATGAACCTGTTGGCCCGTTTCACCCTGATTTGACAGAGCCGCAGCAGTCATAAAATACTAAGTTCCTTTAAGCTTCACAAAGATAGGCATCCAGCTATCAGAGAGGAAACCAGATAGCGCTTTCAGTGAGAGAAGGTTGTGTGAGCTTCATGCCTTGTTCAACATCAAAGCATCTGTGGAGGGGAGGGGAGATGCAAAATCCTCAGCTGGGGAAAATCACAAAGCTGGAGTCTGCGCCTGAGCAGGCACCAGGGAGTCTTGCCCTCAGTCAAGGCTTCACTCCATGTGGGTTCCCTGCTGGGTAATAATGTACTGATGATGAAGGAGATGGCACATAAATGCTGAGCTTTCATCAGGCTTTATGCTTCTGTGGATTCTCTGAAGTCTAATAAGCACTCGCACAACCATAGTGTTGTTCATTTAAAGGAATCGAACTCCGTTAGTTCTGATGTGCATGGGATGCTGTGTTTATCTCCTGCACTATGAGTGTCTTTCTGGATGGTTTTTCAAGCTCTAGGCTGTAAGGTCATTCCTCAGCAGTGTTATCAGTTGTGTGTCTGTGGTGGTAAGGAGCAGTCCCTAGACAAGTTGAAATCTTGAAACGTTGGAAATGTTGCACCCTGGCAGTTTTCCTTTTAAATGTGAAGGCTTCCCCCACGCCATAGTGTGTGGGGAAAATCCGGACTACAGAAAATTGTCCCTGGAGTGTGTCAAATTGAATATGTTGCTGAAAAGCTTCCCCATAAGAAGAGACAAGATTGCTAAGGGGGAAAAAATAACAATGATATTTGCAAGGGAAGAAGGCTGTAAATTTCCAGTGTGGAAAAGAGCCTCTCTCTCTCTTTGGAAGGCAGAATCGAAGCTAAATAGGGTGGGTAGGCAAGCTGTATTTCTGGAAGAGTAATTACCGTGCAGTGCTGGCTTTCAGTCTGGGATTGTCTCAGGCCGTTTAACGTAACCTGGAATTACAGAACAGCATGATTTCTCATTTGAAATTTGATGATGTTTAATTAAAGCCTGTGATTTTAAATTTAGTCCGTCTTCACTGGGTTTGCTTGGCAGTGTGAGCTTACTCAGATCTTCCTTAAACCTCAGAAGTGTTCTCCGCATCTGTGAGCACAGAAGAGGAAGAGTCAGTAGACAAGGAGAAGAGTTGGGTCCCCTGCCTGTCCCCCATGACTGGAGAATTGCCTTACAGTGTATCTTTTCCAGCCTCCAAAATCTTGCAAGGCAAGTAAGGAATGAGCAAGATTTTGAAAGCAAGTATTGAAAGCAAAAACCTTGCTAGTTTCAGATGGAGTTTGTTCAGTTTATAAGATGATGGAGTTGCCTGTGGTAGCAAGGGACTCGATTTAGTGTCTTATGTGTCCTTTCCAGTCCTGTATTCCTACAAAGATAAAACTCCCACATGCTTGATGAGTACTTCTGGTGTTCTTATACATACAGTACTGTTTTATTAAGCCTCAGATTCAACCCTGCAAGAAGCTGCCATAGGTTATTTAGCAAATATTGCAGGTATGTGTGCAGGGAAGACTTCAGAACAGAAAATACAGGGGACTTTTCATTTGAGTAGTGTGGCACTGTCTGCTTCGATTCTGGGATTTATGTATGAGCTTTTCGTCTGGTTGGAAATCACTTACCAGAAGTTTTGTAGCATTTCTGTTCTGAGTACATTCATGGGATATCTGCCACGTAGTTTCAGTCATCCCTCTCTGGTTTCTAATAGAAAGCTGGTAGCCCTGAAGCTGGCAGATCCTTTAAAAACAAGAGGCAGGAAGCAGGCTCTCTCCGGATGTATACAGGAACGGGAACAGCGTTTTCCTAGTCCAGGCCCAAATAGGCACGTAAGGACTCTTTCCATGAAACTAACAATACTTACAAACAGTTTACACATATCTCCATAGTTCAGAAATATTTGAATGCAGTGGTAGCTGTGGTGGATACTCTGTTTCAGGGTTATGTCTACAGCCCCTAAGGCTGTCAGTTAATCCCCTTTTTTGGGGTTATTTTGAAAGCCCAGTTAAAATGTTATGGTACTATATACCTCAGCTGGTATTTGCTAATCCTGAGGTTTACTCTGCTTAACATCAAGATTGGGCATTTTTTAAAGATTTTTTTAGAATGAGTTTGAAGCAATGCTTCCTATGCAAGACATGGAACATCACATTTGTGGAGATCAAATTGTTACTTCGATCATTTTTCTTGAATTGAAAATCTTCTACTGAAAAATAGGAGATTTTTCTGGATGACCTTTCTTATCTGACAGTAAAGCAAATTAAAGAGAATCAGTTCCATGATGCAAAAAGCATTTTTTTTTGTTGTTTAAAACTGCAAGGTATCTTAACTGTCTAACATTTTTTTCCCAAGAGACTGACAGAACATGGGAGAGCCAGTTCAAATTAACTGGCATCACATTAAGAAGCTCATTTTTTATGTTAGTTACTCCAGATCCATAGATATACTAAAGTTATTACAAACCAAGCTCTTACGAACTATTATCACAGTACGAAACAGTAATAGATCCTGTACCTTTCACAAGGGGAAGCCAAAACCCACAGTCTGGTTTGATTCTGCTCACGACAATGTTCTTAAGACATATAGGTAGATAACCCTAAATAAATAAGGAAGCTGAAGGTGAGTCAAAAAATGCTTCTTTTGGAGGATCTCTGTTCAGTGTTCACCTTGATATACTGAATATTGATCAAATCTGTAACAATGAGTTTACCAAGCTCCACTTGGGAGCTCTTTTCATCCTTCCTCTATCCCCTTTTAACAGTCTGGAGCAGAATGCACTTTCTGTTGTAAAAAAGAAATCAGACTGTTTCTGGCTCTGGCTGTGGCCAGAAACTCCTACAGGGTAAAGGGAGCTGATCCAGCCTTGGCCAGATGGTGAAAAGCTTCTCCCGGGTCACGATCGCTTGTATTACAGCACATTTTCCTTCTGCCAAAGCACCATTTTGCTCTTTCAGAGCAGAAGGTGAGATGATATAAGCTGTTCAGTGGTAGCATGCTGGTTTACAGCAGCTGGAGAGGTGGTTCAGAGTCTTTAGAAGAGATTTCTCCCCCGCCTTGGGCAGCAGAAGGGTGGTGTTTAGGCTAGGCACTGACCTGGAAAGATTTCCTTACATCATCTTGCAGCTGGATTCATACCTGCCTGCGGAAAGCTGATAAAAACAAAGACAACAAGATGAGCTTGAAAGAGCTCAAGAACTTCCTGAAAGAAGTGAACATTGAAGTCGATGACTATCATGCCAAGAAGATTTTCCAGGTAATGAGAGCAAGCAGATAAAGTATTTGATGTTGGCTGAGGTCAAGGTCTCCCACAGCTTTCAACTGTGGGAGGGTAGGAAGCTGGGAGGGTAGGAAGACTGCAGAGGGACCTGGACAGGCTGGAT